CACTTTGGTGCTTCAAGATGTTACAGTATTTGTGCGTATTAAGCAGCGCCTTCCAAAGAGAACACTAGAGGGAGAAGTGACATATCAGACAAATCATTCGGTCTTTATAAGCAGGAGACCTGGAGGAGGCAGAACACAAGCAAACACAGTAGGCAGCAGGAGTCTGGGTGGAAGTCCAGCCTGGAGCAGAGTGTTCTCACACTGAGTGCCCTGAGGGACCCGGGTCGGACCTGTGTAACCACTGCTGTTGTTGTTTTGTTCACCGCGCCGCAGACCTCCCTGTTGTCAGTCCAGCGGGAGCTGCACCAACTGCAGGAGCTCAGTAACCACCAGAAGAAGAGAGCAGCTGAGATCCTCAACCTCCTCATGAAGGACCTCAACGAGATCGGGGCCATCATCGGCACCAATGACGTCAAAGGGGTGAGGGCCTTGAGTCTCTGTGGGCACCACGGTGCCAGGGGTCGTGGTGAGGGCTGTGGCTCTCTCTGTGGACACCACTGTGCCAGGGGTCGTGGTGAGGGCTGTGGCTCTCTCTGTGGACACGACTGTGCCAGGGGTCGTGGTGAGGGCTGTGACTCTCTTTGTGGGCACCACTGTGCCAGGAATCTAGAGTGCTCGACGATTGTTTTTTTCTTTGTTTTCTGCTGTTTTGTGCAGGACAGGTAATTAAAGTGTCTAAGCTACATTCCCTGCTGCAGTTCTGGCTATCAGGCCACATGTGGCCATTGCTTCTGGATCTGGATTAGCTTCTGCAGTCAGGTTTAGAGATGTTGCATCCATCAGAGTTGACAAAAGTCCCAGGGCAAGTGTCCTGTCTGACTGGGCTTTCCGGGCTCAGTCTGGGGAATTCACTCTGTGTTTCACAGAAATGTGCAGCATCTTGGACTGTAATAGACATGAAATTATTAAAAATCAAGGTAAAAAATTCCAACAAAATTATCTGTATTTTTAGTCTGTATTTTGACAAAACAGAGCTGAAATCCAACAGTGAGAAGTCCAAAGACATTGAGGAACAAAGTCAACAGACAAAAATTAAGTGGCAGGGAGCTCTCTTGTGGTAGAGAAAGAGACTGCAGCCTATTCACAATTATCTGTTACTGTTACCCTCGGAATAAGAATAAGACGTCATATTTTGTATTTAATTGATCTCAAGTGTCCGTACAGAATAAATGTAGGAGGTTATTTTCCAGTTGTGGATTCACCTGTGAAGTAATCTAACCAATCTAATAGATCTGTTGGGCCTTCAGTAAAAATTGATAGTTTTAATTTTTTAGCAAAGGACTCCAGCGTGCTGTTTGGTGTTCCGAGCCTGGAGCAAGCCGAGAACCCCCTGGAGTGTCTCCGCCGCTCGAGGCGAGTCTGACTCTCCCACAATGCTTCCAGATGACGGAGGTGAACGGCGTCATCGAGGAGGAGTTCACCATGGCGCGCCTGGCCATCAGCAAGATGAAGTCCGAGGTGAAGTCGCTGGTGAACCGCTGCAAGCAGCTGGAGACCTCGCAGGCCGACACCAGCCGCAAGATGCAGGTCAACGAGAAGGAGCTGGCCTCCTGTCAGCTGCTCATCTCCCAGGTAGCATCCGGGGGAGACATATCCAGCAGGCAGCCCGAACGAGCTGTTCCCTTCGCCTCGGCAGGGTCTGCTCGTTAGAGCCAAGCAGTGACGTCCTAGTGTCTCGCTTTAAATCATTTCTTGGAGGATTTAAGCTTCTGTTTGTCCAGCAGATTTCGTTAAACCATAGACTTCCTGTAGGAGAACGCATGCCTCCAAATGTGTTTTGTTTTAGTGCTTTGCTACAAGCACACCAGGTTATCTTAACACATATGTTGAGTTGTGCTCTTGTACTTGTTGAAAATATCACCCTGCGATACTCAGGGTATTTATCTGGTGAAACATCATCTGAACCTGATAACACCCTCCAGCTGAAATACAACGGCCTGTTGACCCAGATCGTTATGTACTGTAGATATTTTCCCAGGCTGGACAATTCAGGCAGTGTGTCTTGTGCTTGGCTGCTGAAGTCATCACTCAAGGTAAAGAGCATAATTAACAGAAACAAACCTGAAAGCTGAAGCTTTTTTTACCATCATTTCACTTTTGGGATGACCTTGTGAAATTAGTTTTTTCCCTTGATCTTTATGCACTTTATGCACTTTTTATAAAAAACCCTAGGCGTCAAACATGAGCCAGGCCGTTACAGCACTGCCTGTTGTCTTTACCTAGATCCTTGCTGGAATGATGGGGAGAGGAGTTTATTTCCTCATGTACATGTACAGTGGGATTCCTTCACGCTCCTTTCTCCCAGGATGTGCACAGTACAACAGACAACACCACACATTGTCGACAGTACCTTACAACAAGTAAACTGAACTGGCTCAACGGAGTCTGGGGTAGTTTATATATGACAATACCAGTCTTTCCAGAGCTTCATGACCACTGGAGTGAGTGCCACTGGACGGTAATTGTTCTAACAAGTTACCTTGGTCTTCTTGGGCAGTGGCACAAGTGTGGTTTTCTGGAAGCACCCTGTTATGACTGACAGAGAAAGAGAGAGGGTAAGAATGTCTGTGTATACAGGAGACAGCTGATCGATCATCTGGTAGAGATGCATCTGCAGAGGAAATAACGCTGGTGATGCCCCTGTAGTTCGTGACAGTGTGCAACCCTTGTCTCATGCGCTTTGAGGCGTACTCAAGCTGTTTTTCCAGTTTGTCCTTCTTTTCTTGTTTTGCCAGTTTGATGCCTTTCTCCAGGTCATACCTTGAGTTTTTATATACTGTAGTTCTCTGTCGCCTGATTGAAAGGCAGCAGACCGCACTTTAGGTTTGCAGTGAATCCAGGGCTTGTGACTGGGGTATATCTTCCTGTTAGCTGCCGCGGGTGGGAAGCACTTCTTCAGGCGGGAAGATGCGCTTGCGTTGAGTTCTCGGTGTGCTGGCTTGCTCCCACAGCACCAAGCCAAGATCAAGTCCCTGACGGATTACATGCAGAACGTGGAGCAGAAGAAGAGGCAGCTGGAGGAGACGCAGGACGCGCTGACCGAGGAGCTGACGAAGCTGCAGGCCCAGGGTAAGGCGGGGGAGCGGAGCCGCACTCTGGAGACCCATCCAGCATATTCCTCGAGGGGTTGGAATACCAGCTCGGCTGTCGTCTTTAGAGGATCCAGATTTTTTTCCGCTCTGATTGTGTGAGGAATAAAGTGGAAGTGTGGCTGCTAGCAATGAATGCTGTCTGCAGCTCTGGAGTCGTGGTAGTCTTGAGTTCGATTCTGGGCTCTGGCTTCTGTGTGGAGTCTGCATGTTCTCCCTGTGTGTTGGTGTGGGGTTCCTGCAGGTGCTCTGGTTCCTCTCATCTGCACAAGGTGATATCGGTTCAGTTCATGAGCGTCTCTCAGTTGTGCGTGTGCGTGCGCCCTATGCCGTTCCCACTCGGTTCCCTTGAATGTCTCCATTGTGCGAAGAGGATCATGCAGAACGAAATATACTTGATTTTTTCAGAGAAAATGCATGAAGTCTCGGTGATGGACAAAGAGAAGAAACACATGAGCATGCTGCAGGACGCAGAGGAGATGAAGGTACGTTTGTTGTATTATAAATTTCATTCTGTGTTCCATGGGAAAGTGAAACTAAATATAAGTTTAACCTTGTGCTTTTAAAATAGTCAGACAGTTCTTATGCAAATGAAATGTAGTGAATATAAATTTGGAGCACATTGCCTGCTACTTTTGAGAACTGTTTGATATTGAGGTTAAATTTGAATCGTATGTGTTGCTGGTTTAAAAAAAACTGCTTGTACACAACCATGAGGAGTGTTAAAAACAATATATTTTTATTCGTTCAAGAGGTGACTTTTCAATATGAATGGCGGTGTCTTTGGACAGCCTGCTGAAGGCAGAATCTGTGTGCGGACCAGACACACTCGTAACTGAACATGAGCCGTTTCTCTATGTGCAGAACACTCTGGAGCAGCAGATGGAGAGCCACAGAGAAAGTCACCAGAAACAGCTGTCCAGGCTGCGGGATGAAATCGAGGAGAAGCAGAAAATGATTGACGAGCTGAAAGAGTAAGGAGACTCCAGGGCCCTGAGGCGCATGGCTGTGGTGTGGTGCACCACTCCTGGCATTTGCTCATTTGTACAGATAGTACCGAACTTGAGGTTTCTCCTCCTTTGTGACACCTGTTGTTTGACAATTTAGCTTGAACCAGAAGCTGCAGCTGGAGCATAACAAGCTGCTCTCGGACTGCGAGAAGCTCAAGGAGGAGGAGCAGGAGAAGGACACGAAGCTGCAGAACCTGATGTAGGTTTTTACACAAATCTCTTCTTGTTGCCACTGGAGCAGCTCGACCCTTGTTGCCCGTGTGTAGCTGTAGCCTTGGGAAACCGCTCTAGAAGATCAGGCTTATTAAACTCTGCAAATTCAGTGTGAGTGACTGTGCATGCTCTGAGCTTCTTAAACTCAGATTCATTGTACCCTGTACCTCAGGAATTGAGTTTAGTTAGATAAGGAGCAGTTGGAGACAAGGCATGTGCAAGTGCAGGAAACAGGATACCATGACATGTGTAAGCCATGAAATGCAGCAAGACCTGTACCGCTGACGTCAATGACTGGAGCCTGGCCAAGTACTCGCTGGCTGTGACCCCGGGGGGTACCGTCCCAGGTTGTGACCCCTACATGTGAGACCCCATGGGTTTTGTAGGCTTTGGGTTGTCAGTGAGAACTGCACCCTTCACCTGGTGCCAACTCTGCTGGGCTCACAGTGTGCAAAAAAGGCAGATGGCACCAGAGATGTGTTATTGAGGAAAGAAGCTTATCCTCCCTGGGACAGAGTGAGAAGCACATCTGGAATTTCAGGCGGTAATTCCCCGTTGAGAGAAAGAAATAAAAGGATAATATGAGGTATCAAACCGGCGGTTTAAAAAATGAAAACTGGAAGAAAGATAACTGCTAAGGGACACTCAGTTTTTATTACAGCTCCTGTTGCTCTTTTTCTTTCATTCAGCATCCTCAATGAAAAACGAGAGCAAGCAAAGCAGGACCTCAAGGGTCTGGAGGAAACAGTGGTAAGAAAGCCTGACTTACAGTATGAGGAAAAGCTGTGGAATGTCTTGTGTTTTAAAATAACTCGTTGGGGCTGATGTTGTTGCCAGTGTGAGGTAGGGCTCTTACTTCACCCTACAGAGCCTTGAACAGAGCTCCCTCCGATAACATAATTAGTGCGTCAGTATTGTGTCAGCCCTCCAGGCCTGGCCTGGACCAGACTGGACAGATACCAGCAGGGTCTTTAAAGGACTGAAAGCTACTTTTGAGTTTGTACTTGACCAGTATTTATTGACTCCTGGGGAAAATAGGCATAGTGAATTTGGAATATTTATGTAATAGAATGCTATTGGGTTTAAAATCTTGCAATATCTGTGTGGTCTTTGAGGGAATTAGAAATTATTCTTAGGAAGTTTAATGTTTTTTTTTTTAGAATCTTTACCTTTGGTTGAGAACTAATTTTGAATGCTATACCAGCTCTGCAGGTTTTCTGCCACCAATCAATGTTTTTTTATCTAATTTCTTCATTTGTATAAACCTGCTGTATAATTGTATAGGATGGGTACCAATTAGCTGGCATTTAATGACAAAGTTTAACGCAAATCTCAAGGACACTCATTGTATATACAATGAAATAGTACACAAACACAGAACCCTCAAAAGAAAGAGTGAACATCACTAACTCTTGCAGATTTAAGGAAATGTTAGATCTACTGCAAGAAAAGCACAATAGCTTAATTTCCTCTCTTTCAACAGGAAAATTTCAGTACCCCTAAGGTCTTTGTTATCATTGATTTGTTGGTATGATTATTTTTCCTTAGTGTTGGAGGGATGTGCCCATTTTCTGAAATGATCTTCAAACTCCTGTGTTTGTTTTACAGGCCCGAGAGCTCCAGACACTCCACAACCTTCGAAAACTTTTTGTTCAAGACCTCACAACCCGTGTCAAGAAAGTATGTTTTCATTTTTTTTAACCAGGGAAAGTAATAACTCTTGCTGTCAGTCCCTTCATGTGTATTTCTGCAGGCATTTTGGTAATTGCCCTTATTAAATGTTACAGACTCAAGGCAGGGATTCCTCTCTGTAGTTTTGACCTCACTATTCGTCTGACAACACAAAAAAGCTAAAAATAAGCTGAAAACTCAATATATGTTGTGATAGAATTTGTTCATTTGAAAATTGCTATATAAAGTTAAAATTATTCTAATTTTGATGACGCAATAGTTCTGCCCCGTATTTTCTCAGACAGTATGAATGTTGGCGTCCTTGAGCTGTATAGTTCTGTATGGTTCTGTGCCTGTGGGCACTCAGGGTTTTCTCTTGCTTGCCTCGGTGAGCCATCCCCCGTGTGAACAGCGATCTTCCTTCTCACAGAGTGCCGAACTGGACTGCGATGATGGAGCCGGGAGTGCCGCACAGAAACAGAAGATATCCTTTCTTGAGAACAACCTGGAGCAGCTTACAAAGGTTCACAAACAGGTATGAGAGCACAAGTGCAGCCTGTTCTCCCAAAAAGGTTTTTGTGGGGGCTGGCTTATTTCAGGTTAAGTCAGGTTACTATTCAGGATAAGGGCTCATATAGCCCATTGCAACAACCACGAGATGATATAAATGATATAAAATGATGCATGAGGAATACATTCACCTTGAATAATTATTAACACATTAGAAACATGCAAATATGATACTCTTAGATGCCCAAAATAACATTTTTGCAACAGTAGGACTCTTTTTTGATATTTTATTTATTCTTGTAATTGGCATGTACAGTATTTACACATGAAGGGTTTCTTAATTCAGGTGCTCAGTGAAGACTTTTTGTCATTCATGAATGTTTATTAAGGTAGTTGTGATTTAACTGTTAAGTCATACAGGTTTTCAGTTGTATACATAGTATGATAGACTGTGCTAAATTTCCTTGTGGTTGAATAAAGTATTTTGAACTGAATTGGACAGACCTATTCCTCTGCATCAAAGTGGGATTTTCTCTTCTTCCAAAGAACTTTATTTAAAAATATATAGAATCACTTAACTACAGCCTTGCTAATAAACACAACTAACACTTTGTGTAAAATGAAAAGCGCAACCTACCTTTAAACATGCATGAAAGTATACATACTGGAACAGATCAGTGTTCCTATGTATGTAGAAAGGCGGTTCAGCTACAGTAACTGTTTTTCTAGTTGTAGTAGTTTAAACAAGGAAATAACTGAGCAGCTGAATAATGTTACTCTCAAGGGTAACAGCAGCGTCTGGTTCAAGGGAACCTGTAAGTTTGAGTGAACCAGCTTACTTACAGCGCAATGCTGCCACACAAGCCAGACTCCTGGGCGAAGCAGCAGTGTTAAGAGTGGCTGACGCCTGTATTTACTTCACACACGTCTGTACCCACGGTGTGAGACCCCGCTGTGCCCTCTCCTTCCTCCGCGCAGCTGGTTCGTGACAATGCAGACCTGCGCTGCGAGCTTCCCAAGCTGGAGAAACGTCTGCGAGCTACAGCTGAGAGAGTCAAGGCCCTGGAGACTGCACTGAAGGAGGCCAAGGAGAACGCCATGAGGGACCGCAAGCGCTACCAGCAGGAGGTGGACCGCATCAAGGAGGCCGTGAGGGCCAAGAACATGGCCCGGAGGGGCCACTCCGCGCAGATCGGTGAGGACCGCCTGCTGAACCTGAGCCGGCTTCCCTTTCTCGCACTGTGTGCAGCTGCGGAGGTGGAGGTCCGAGAATTGTCAGGATGAGCCTTTGCTCTGCTCGGAGACGGAGACGAAGCTCTCCTTAAGCGGTCCTCGGCTCGGCCAGCAGGGGTGTCGCCCTCATGTGGGCTGCGTGTGACGTGTCTGTTTCCTTTCCTGCAGCCAAGCCCATCCGCCCAGGGCATCACCCAGCCTCCTCACCCACAGCAGCCCACGCCCTCCGGGGAGGTGGAGGGGGGTCATCAGGCACCAGCTACCACCACCACAACAAGTAGAGACAGAGTGAGTAGGCAGCGCAGAGCCGCCGCCGTTCCTGGGGCTCGCCGGAGAGGGGCCTGCGCTAATCGCTGCTCCGCTGAAACTTCCATCTTCCAATAGGCTGCAGTAAATAGTTTTGAGGGAAGTATGAGGGAGCATTTGAGGAGATTTCAGGGTAGAATGTGACGCGCAGCAGGTGTGAGCCTGGTCAGTACCTGGATGGGAGACCTCCTGGGAAAAACTAAGGCTGCTGCTGGGAGAGGTGTTAGTGGGGCCAGCGGGGGGCGCTCACCCTGCGCTCTGTGTGGGTCCTTGCCCTGAAACCCCAAAGATGAATTGCTCAGCTAGTTTTTTGTGTTTCAATGATTTTAAAACAATGTGAAAGGTAATAATCAATTTAATCCATTTTAATATTGCGTTGTAGTATGTTTGTTTATTGTTTTGCATTTATCTGAATAATTTATATTTTAAAAGACTTTGTGCAGCACAGCAATGTCTGCTTTAGAACAGGTCAGTCGCACTCCGTAGATGTATTTTGTATAATATAAGAAGACGTACAGTGGACTCAGTTCACAGGACCTTTCTAAATTGATATATCACAGAATTCAAATTGACTCAAACACATGTCCTACTCTACAGCTCTGATAGGCCGTATAATTAATTTCATGGATCTTAGAAACGATTTCTTCGTGGAGTTTTAGTGGAAATGTACTGATAGAAAGAGTGCTGTGTGCACATACAGGATGCACACCCAGGGCTGTTTCTGCAGCACGTGTTTGAGGAGTGTCTGTTTTATGCTAGGGATTAGTGACAAATTAACAGATTGTCCTGCAGGCTTGTCGATGGGTCGGCTTTTTCTGACAGAGGCTGTGTTTAAAGACTCGGGGAGATTTGTCAGGCATGCAGGGCACTGCGCTGTTGTGTAATGATCCCATGCTGCTGTCTAGCTGTTGATAAGGATACTCTGTGGTGCTGACTCATTACAGCGCATTAGAAACTGATATGTGAGGTGCGAGGTAGCCCTGCACAGACAGGAATTACAGGTGGGGGGCAGCCCCGTCTGTCAACAGACTGGCTCCAGACTCTCCATCTGAGGCGGTGTGTGGAATGTGTGTTGAAAAGAAAAACACATTCCCTCCCATTCTTCAAGAAACGGCTCAGTGACATCTTCTAATCGTTGAGCTATTAGCAGCCAAACAAACAAGATGGGCCGAACAGCCCTGACCTTAACCCCGGCCCTCTCACATGTAACCTTTCATTTAGGTTTTGTGTTCGTTGAAAAATGAAAACAGAAGGTCTGTTATTAAAACATAGTTTCAAAACACCACGTTTCTGTCTAAGGTATAAATTTCACCTTTGTTTATTTATACGTACCTGCCAGTGAGATACAGACACAGACCGTTGTTGAAAAGTCCGATGCTGGCTGATTTGGAAGGGAAGTAGCTGAGAAAGACAATTGAAGAGTATGGATCAGAGGAGACCAGAAATAGGGCACCAAGCCCTTTTATTTCCACAAGTCTCCACATGGGGGCAGCAGATCTTTGATATACCACACTTGCATCCATCCGGTGTCAAAAAGCACTTAAAAGAAGAGCTGCAAACCCAGGGTCTCAGACTGGTTACTAAATCTCAGAAACACACCAAATTCACCGACAGTATAGAACAAATTCACAAATTTTGAATTGAACACAAAATTGAGGACTTTGTGAAAGTGCTGGATAGTCGCCGTGTTGTTGAAAACCCCTGGTCTCACAAGAACAAGAGGTCCCACAAACTGCGATGTGAAGCAGCCCTTCCTGCTCACTAGTTGCTGTAATGACTCATGTAATTCCAACACGATCTGCATGCAGAGTTAACAAATAAGTTGCATTTATTGGCAAAACCATCTCGAAATGAAAAGCAATATTTCTATTGGATGTAAAGAGGTGTATTCACAAGCCTTCTTGTTTACAATGTAATAAGGCTGCTTCACCTCACCGGAAGGTTTGTTGCCTCGTTCTGAATCACAGACAATGGCAGCAATATGGTGCTACGCATACCTGGAAATTTCGTCTATTTTATTTTGTTAGTGTAAGTTAGTGTGTACATTTCACTTGTATTGAATTGCACTCATCAATGCAGACTCTCTTTAGCCCCGAAACATAAAAACAGCGTTGCAGTTCTAATCTTTAATCCCATACAGTGAGCTGGAGGTCATCCTGCAGTCCAAAAGGCAGGATATGCCAGTCAATCAGAAAGCCGAGGGAAAAATTATAGAGGCGGCAGCAGATCTTTTGACTAGGTTATGCTGACGTCTCTGTAATTCCGTTCCGATAATCACCAGGTCCGCCAGTTTCCTATGGGAACATGTGAACACCTCACAGTAGGTACCCCAGGACTTGAGAACTATAACAGCAGCTCGGAGCGCCAGGTCGAGTCTCCACCCTCATCTACCACCTCGTTTTCTTCTCTGTTCTGATTTAAGTGGAGAACACGTAGCGTACAACACCGACCTTCTCCACAAACCTTTGAGGTGCTATATAATGGGCAATTTTCTGATAAACCTTTCGTCATTATCGGTTCAGTAATGGAATTGTACAATACAAATTCAGATATGACTTAAGTGTCAGTGGTGTGGCTGTTTTCTCACACCTTCATGTCTTGAATGAAAAAACGGAAGCTGCTCCTAATTACTGCCTCCTTACTGAACGAACTGATATCACACACTTCAAAAACCATCCATCTGTCTTCTACCCTGCTCCTGAATGCATTTTCTCAGTGATGCCATTCAATTTCCAAATTTCGGAATCTAAATGTTTTTCCTGGTAAGCTCTTTTTTCTTTGAAATCGGCTTTAGAGAGTAAAGACGCAGGAGGATAATAAGCATAAGGATAAAGAGGACAACATCCTGTTTCTTTCTCTTCCCACATCACGGTGTGAAAAACCTTCTTTTGTGTTTTATGGCTTCCAAACAAAGCTCTTACTGAGGGGTGATCCTTACTGCCTGCGTCTCTTCCTGTCTGCCTGGGACTATGGCAGGCTGAGCAAAGGTTAAGGGACAGCAGCTAGGTTTATCGTAGTACTTCACGAATGGGAGGTCTTGTTTGCCTAGGGATTGTATCCTGAGAGTGAACAAAGTGTGATTTATTCCACCTGCCTTTCTTACCTGTTGTTATATTGTAAGAGGTGACAAAGATTATCTTCATTGTTGTCTGTGCTCCAGCTCTTAGCTCCACTATCTGTTTCTGGTCAACACTAATCAGAAGAGTTAACCTTCCCAAAGACTTTTGGAAAATTGAATTGATCAGTGTGCAGGGGAGGGGAAGTGGTGTTGTATTACAGTCCACTGAAAAAAGCAGTCAGTGTATTGAAAGTTTCCCCCCCAAGATCAGGATTTTAAAGTTTATCAGTCAAGCTTATGCTTTGGTTGACCTGAACATGTCTTAATGCATTTAATAACCTGACTCAGCTTGTGTCTGTACAATTCCTACACATAAAGATCGCTGCCTGTGAGAGTTTGCCAGTAGCCTACACTCCAGCAGTGAAAGTCCTGGTAGTGGGGGAATGAGGCCTCCTGTCTTCCAGACATGGAGATAAAGATCTGAGCGCAGGGAGAGGCCAGCAGACCAGAGATATGGCCTCCAGATGATTCTCCCCTGGATTTGCAGTTTTCTCCGGGAGCTCGTTTGTCTCCTCTTCTCACAGAGCTGCGGTCGAGGCTGGGCTGCCTGCCTGCCATCGTGTCTTTCTCTTCCCGCGATGGGGAGTGCACGTGTGAGTGGCCAGACCCCTCTCGTGCCCTCGGTTTCCGGGGCGGGCCTCGCTGTGCTCACGACCGATGGGCGGAGACGAGCTCAGTACAGTGAGGAATCTTTTCTTTTTCTTTTGCAGATAGAATCTTGAAAACACACGCACAGAAACACCTTCTCATCAGATCACATTCCTTGCTTCAGAGTCTGCTGTCCTTCCTTCTACCCCAGACTGTCGGCAAGTCTTCACAGTGTCTACAGAAGCTGCATTCCCTCTCCGCAATCTCAATGAGCCATCTGACATTGCTGAAACTGTAGGTTGTAGCCCCTCATGAAAAGATCAGTTCAGCCTTTTGTTCCTGAAAAAGTGTTTTTTCTCCTCTAACTTTATCAGAAAGCAGGAAATGAAGAAAGCTCCTTATATCATTAGGCAGGTTGGTGTCTTTTAAGTCTCTCTTGTACAGTATATTAAATGGGTGATTTTCATGTGTTTGGTCTGATTGGGTAAGTGTGTCTAGTAATGCTGCTGCTTATCAGGGTGTGACTCAAGTTTGCAAAGGTAAAAACATACATTAAACTGGACTGGGAACTACTCTGTTCTGTTTGATTTCTTGTTAAATATTGAAAGGGTTTTATTGGTCATAAGCGCCTGTTTGCAAACTCACTTAAAAGGAGTTGGATTCTTTCATACCGAAGTAGGCAACTGGTTACAAAAGCTTGGCATTAAGAAACAAACAGCAAACAGTGTCTTTATGTCCTTAAATCAAGATTAGAGGGTTAGACTGGCTCTCTGTTTTATTGCCAGGAGGCTGGAAGATTCCCCAGCCCATATTCCAGCTTGCAAGTCTGGCAGCACTTTCAAATCCTTTAAACTCTTAGAAACCTTTTTTTAAAATTTTATAGTTTATATTTTATCTTGGAATTCGTTTAAATTTTTTGTATTAAATTGTACATTCACATGTTTCTGATATTTTTGCTTTTGCTTTGTTTTATGGTAAAGTGCCTTGAGATTATGTTAGGAAAGGCACCATATAAAATAAAGATGATTATTATTTAAGCAGCTTTTTTAGACGTAAGTACATTTGAGAACAACAAAAACAAGCAAGAAAGAGTAGAGTGGGAGAGATTACCATTATTGAGGCCGTCAGTTATCTTACAAAAAAGCTGCTCTTCAGTAACCTCTTTTTTAAAGAAAATTACATAATCTGCATATACAGTATTTGTCTTTTATTATATTAATAAAGATGTCATATTTTTGTATGTTTGCTTTCAAATTATTTTTCTTTAAAGACTTTAATGTTGTACTTTTTGTTTAAAAATCCCTTTTGCCTCATTGCTAGAGAGGAGCATAGATCACTTTCACTGTATTGATTTTAAGGTTGAGTGTAATGTTTTTAAAGATACTGAAGAGTATAATTACATCAGTCTGTGAACATTTACTTTGGTATACAGTACAGGGCATGGTAAAAGACCATATGGACAAGCACGGACAGGTTCAGGAAACCTTGGTCCAAAGCATGGATGACACAGCAAAACAGAGTTAAAGTGAAGTTTCGTCATGGTAATGCCATGGGAAACCACTAATGTCAGTCAGATTTACCACACTAAACTTTAATAAGTTTCTAGATGTGTCTAGAGGTTTAAGGAGGTGACTTAAGTGTTTTGCAAAAGTACTGCAGAGAAAGGACAGAAGCCCACGTAGTGATAATTTAGGATGCTGTCAGCCCTGCCCTTGAGAAACCATTCCTTTTAGGGATTAAAGGCTCTTTGTGTTTGACCATTCCATCTTTCATCGTTCAGAAAAACACACCCAGCCGGACACTTAAACTGAAAAATGTGAGCCGAGATCTTGGTATGAACAGATAATCCTCAGAGCCTAAAACCGCAAACACACGACCGCTTGACTGGTGTTCAGGTCTTTAGAGGAGGAAAAAAAGGCTCTCGGTCTCAATCAAAAATAAATCCTCTTCCACTTAATGCATTCTTTTACTGGAGATGTAGGATTTAAAATTCTGAGACTGTGTAGGGCACTAGAAAAATGGCAGAAGAAAATATGTTTTGTTTTAATACCAGAGGAGCCAGAGGTAGTCTCCACTGAACCAAGTCACTATTCACAGCCTTCCTGATAGTTACAGAGTATAGATCCAAGTTGTCTCTTGTGCTATGATGCTGATCAGCCATTCAGTCCATCAAGCACTGAGCTGAAAGGAGGGTTTTTTGTCACTTAGACAGTAGTTACTTGAAAAGCCTTGAGCTTCAGAAAGAAACTGGCATGTTTCAGTCTGTATGACAAACTGCACTTTGGATAGCAATTTGTCATGTAATGGGCCGACCTTTCCAATAGGCACAGGCTGATCCAGCGACACTTAAGACTATCTTCAGTGAAGCCGTTTTGGTTCAGTGCTCCTGCACAGATTGAAATAGCCAGGTGAAAGAGCTGTAACGCCCTGCCATGCTTTGCACAGAGCTGTGTCTCTTTCCTCTACGGGCTACGGAAGGGGCCTGTCTACCACAGAGCGTGCCCAGCAGGCCTGGCCTTGTGCTGCGGCCTCCAGTGTGCTCCTGTCCCCTCTGTGCGCAAGCAATGGGGTCTGTCCAGCTCTGCCCATCCTCAGATCTTTGATTGGGTTTTTGAACCTCTCTGCTACATGGTCAGTGTTTCATGCGTTCAAAGAAAAGGAAACTCCGGAGATTAGCAGGCCTGGGTGTCGTACTGCCCTAGTCTATCAGGGTTAATAGGGTTGTTTAATGCACTGAAGGACAAGAGTGGTATTGACTCCAGAACGACCAATTTGTGAGTTTCAAGAGCTTTGCTCCTCAGTTGTACTGTTACAGAGAGAATCCCACGTACAACCCACGTACAGTAGCTACTACATGTTCACAAGCTGTCCCATTTTCATTTCTTCCTGTACAGTTCATTCTTATTCACAATAACAATGACAGACTAAATTCTATTAGTTACAGGGATTCATAAGAGTGAACAATAAAAATATAAACTTCAGATAAGCAAATTATTCAGGGCCATATTATTATGTCATATTATGATGACATTATGCTTACATAAAAACATCTGTAAAATTAAAATGGTGTTTTGATTCTATAATATATTATTGTAAAACTGTAATTTTGATTTTGCAAAGACAATGTTAAAATGGCAACTTTTGAGGTTGCTTCAAGGACTCAGTTAAAAATAAAAATACTTTTTACATGTGCAATAGGCAAGGAGATGGTCACATTAAAATCTGTGCAAAATGTATATGTATTATATTATATGAAGAAGCAGTGTTTTGTTTTTTTATGAAAACATTTTTATTTTTTAGAAATAGTTTCTGTACAAATAAACTAAGCCAACCATTTCTCATAACTCTGAATTTTTACACAATGAGGGCTTCTCAGCGAATCTGATCTGTGCTGCTCTCTGTGTCTGATCACTCCTCTTCGTGCCATGACCGATCTTTGGGCAAAAACTGAAAGTGGGGTCCTTTTAAAACGTCCTTTGGAATGGTGCAACAGTAATGATAGTAATGCAATGTTGATTTGTCATGATGTTTCTGAGGTTTTGTGCTGGAAGTGAGTTCTCTTTTTCTACTTTGAAATTTGCCAGGAAAAACAATCTACAGTTCATTGTGTTTCTGCCTTTTCTGGGAGAAACACGACGCTAACAAAGCAAACTCTAGAAGTGTAAAGATGCAAACAATTCTCCATGGTCTTTCCAGTAATCAGCAGGCAGATAAAAGATGGAATTAAAGAACAGAATCGAATTCCACATTCTGTTCTTGTACAGGCTTTCTTTCTCTGTCCAGAGTAGTTTGTTTCTTCAAAACGAATTTCAACGTGTTGTAACATTAGTCTGTTCTCATTTGTGAAATGTGTGCTTGTGTGTTGCAAACAGAGGATGGGAGGGGGGAAATGCCAATTCAATTATTTATTCAGGCGCAAGGTCTGGTCCTTACAGACAAATGATGCTGTAAGGTTCTGCTTCACAGCTGAGTTTAATAATTAACAGGTGGATGGCTCTCAATCTCAATCCCAGCTATGGCCACGCTGTTCAGTAAATGGGTGGACTACTGCATGGTGTAAAATTCCTTTTGAATTGTCAAAAGTACTAATAAAGTAAAAGTTCAACTTTACAGCTCCGCATTTTTTCCTGTCTCCATCATACGCATGTTGATCGTTCTCTGTCTCTTCTGCAACAGGGCATTCTGGCTACAGCTGTGGGGTTTTCAGATCCTGACCGCTAGAAGATTATGGTCACGGCAAATAATGGATCATAACATAGTGCCTCACATGCACCGTTTACAAGTTTCCAGCAAGCTAGAACGTCGACCAAATTCTAATTCTATAATTAAATAAACCTAATACAAAAAATAAGTTTAGGAATTAAGAACTCCAGCGGTCCGCACTGGTTATAATTCAAATAAAGTCGAACAATGGAAATAACACGAGTGTAACAACTTCCCAAGTCCGGCAGTTTAACAACGTGAAGTGCACGCTGGAGAATCGATGTAAGAAATTCAATGTTTTATATCGTGCGCAGCGTACTCTGCTACAGCCTTGTGAGACGTGCGCTGTCAGAGGAAAAGGTAAGAGAATTCAGACACGTTAGTCTTGCTGGTTTTCTCCTGCCGTGGCTGTCGACGAGCCTACCTGTTTCAAAAGGCTTCCGTGCGCCCGCTCGCTTGGTATCTCGGCGTGGACTCCCATCTGAGCCAGCAGGTCTGTAGCAACTCCCCTTCTCCGCCAGCGCCGCCCCGCTCGGCCTCACCCCCGTCTCCCCTACACCTTCCCGCACACAGCCCGGGGATCTGCGCTGAGGACCGGACAGCGCAGCGGGCGGGCTTGCAGGATCGGATCCTGCTCGGATATCGCCGGTTAACCAGATGCTTTGTCCTGTTTCGAGGTGTCGAACCTGTGGAAGGTAAGAGTAACAATCTTACTTCCCCCTTCATCGATCGCATCGGGTTTCTGACGGAAAGCTGCAGAACGGTTCAGGACGAGCGTAATGTCACTGCGCTTAATTGAGCTGCTGGGGATAATTGTTCCATTAGGAAAAAGCCTGGCTATGTTTTTTTTTTTAACGTGCCTTTCTCCAGAAGAAACAAAAATATTCTTTGAAACGACCTCAGATGGTACTACTGGTTTGAAAAAAGCATAAATAAGTTACATCTCTTTGACTTTTGTTTATTTTTGTGGGTTTTTTTTTTAAAGTTTCACTTTAGCAGCTCAGTCTACATACAGTACGGTGTAGTTGAGTGTTTTGCTCACAACATCTCTAAGGAAGAAGCTTCATCAAAAAAAAAATGTGGAGTGGGCTGAATGATAGTCCACTTATTTCAGAAAGGCGTACACTTAATAAGAAGCTCGTTTGTTTACACGTCTGTGTGAACTGGCGGAATAGGAGACGACCCGAGGCTCGAAATACGAGCTCCTATACATATATTAAGCTTAACATTTTAATGTAAATTTTTCTGCTAGAGCTGGGGACAGGCCTGTCTGACCAGAACTGCGCCGTGTGCGCCTTAATAGTCAGATCCTGGGTTCACCGCAGACGGGAGGCTCGTCATTAGCTGGTGCATGTTGTATCCTGAAAGAGGGAAGAGTTATTAATTTCTAGTGAGTTAAAAGCCTGTGTGAAAAACAGGGCTGTGATGGACCCATGTTCTGTTCCTGCGGTGCTTAATGTTCAAACAGTTAATGCCGCTGAGGCGTCACAGATGGGATCCCTGTGTGAGGTTTGTCAGAGACGCCAATGTTAAGCGACTGCTGACTTCCGGGGGACTGTTCACTACAGTTGATGAATAAGAAATTCACTCTTTACTACAGCTGAAGGGACAAGAAATCATTTTCCACCGCTTTTAGAAAGCTGTTACCTTTGCGAACAGCCTGCGTGAGAACTCTTTTTAGGGAATTTTTAAGCCAGGAAATGGAATCAATTTCCACGAAGTGTTGGGCTGATCGTTTTGGGTTAGGGATTAAGTTCAGTCTCTTTTTAATGCAGGCTGTAAGCACATTGGTAATAAATCAGCACCTCTGTTGTATTGTGTCAGTCGGCATTGCCAGCTATAAAAATAGGCGCTTCTTTCAGTTGTCTGTGTCAGTATCTGTACGGTAGAGATGAATTGGCTCTTTAGTGACATGAACTTGACTGGTGAAACACTGTTCACAATCTGCAAGTAATATTAGAACATTAATTTCGGGGCCAGTAAAGTATTTAAGCAGTCTCAATACTTCACGCTTGTTATATAGTAGAAGGGAAACACAATCGTTCTTATTATCGTATTATTCTAAAAATAATTACTGAAGAAAATATTAATTCAGTTCAGTTAGGCTATAAAGTAAGCCGTTTAAGTTAGCCGTTACAGTCATGAGAGTTTGTGGATACAGACTCCTGCTTTCTAAGGGTTCAACTATGCAGAACCAATTTTAACAAGCGAATCAAAACAGGAGATCGTTTGATAAATGTTCTTTAATAAACGTTTTTCACTGTACGCTCTGGTTTATCCAAAATAATTTAATATCCTGTATCGCAATTTTAAAAAAATATTTTAGCTTTGAAGTGTGCAGCGTTAAATTAGTTTACACGAGACTGGCAAATACCGGCATATACTGTATATATATATATTTAAAGATCTGAAATGTCCCATTTTGTTCCTGGTTATACAAAATGCAAAGCTTTTAATTTAAAGGACAAATGTTGGTACATGCTCTTAACATCCGAAATGTGTTTCCGAAGCCAAACGTTCTCGGATCTGCCTGGCTGAGATGTCGAACCACTCTTGATTTTCCTGTGCTGTAACTGTCGAGCACTGGCCAGCAGATCGGCTTAGCCTCCTCGCCGACCGCCTCGTCCTGGTTAGTCGAGTTCTGCCCCTCCAGTATTTGCTGATCGATGGGCAGCCCGAGACTCACTCGCCGTCAGTACTAAACTACTGTCAGTACTACATTGATTGAGCGGCGCCGCAGCTGAACTAACTGGCTCTGGTAAATATATCTCTGGAATTCGGCAGCAGGTCTTTTCTTTTCATTTTCTCCCCCCCACCCCAACACACACACACACACATTAAAAACAAGTGTTTACGATTCTAAACTTTTTTTCGGACATACCCCTGTCGTTATCCGAGATTAAACGGTGTGGCTCGAAACCTAAAAACTAAATGGTGTCGTCTTTTGACGATTTTCCACGCGTATATTACGGAGGAGCGCAAGACGGCGGCTGTCAGGACAGTTGACTGTGTGAACATGTTTACTGGGGGAGCACGGCCTGTCCGGCATGGTCATCTCCCACAAGAATTGCAAAGTGAGGACACTGCTTAATAGGATCATTAGTGGCTGCTGATATTGATTGTGATCAATCACGCAGCTCATCTGAATTTGACAGTAAGGCGCTGGAAGTTAACCTCCAGCAGTACTTAGTACTGGCTTGCCAGACCCAAGATTTATGCACCTCTGCAATAAATGACCTTAGAAGTGCCACATTTGTTATAAAAGCTATATTATTGCTGTAAGTGATCGTGCTTTAGTAAAATAACAGGTATTCAGTCCAGAATCTGAATTTGCCAGATTTTAAATGATGTGCCTTTACAGCTGTGCACGCTGTCTTGAAGAATATCTGGACTCTTCATGAAAGATTGCATATCGGCCTCTCACTTTTTAAGTTAACTATGGAACATTGCCGGTGAAACAAATGATTGTGCTTTGAAACTTTTACTCTCCCGACTTGAAAGGAAAAGACAGAAAATCAAGATGACCAAGCAAAGATGAGGAAAGAAAAAAACTCTGTATTGAAATAGAGTTTCACTTAATAAGAGTCAGATATTGTGAATAGATATTAGTTTGGAGTAAGATGTTCTACAGAAGTGAAATGTACTACAGGTTGAGAATCCCTTATCCGAAATTCCTGGGACCGAAAGTTTTGCGGATTTCGGAATATTTTTATATTTGCATCTATAAAATGGGACAGTTTGGGGATGGAACCCATGTCTAAACACGATATTCATTTACATTTCATAATATAGCTTATACATATACCCTGAATGTAGTTTTATATACATTTTAAATAATTTTTTTAAACATAATACCATCAAAAAGATAACAGTCTCCACCTGCGATGTCATGTTTTGATTAAAAGGTTAAAGTACACGTACGCCATTTGTATTTTATTTTTTACTATACAGGTATTACGTTCTATGTAAGGTATAAAAACAAAGTATTGAATATGATTACAGGTAAATAAAATGAAAACTGAAAAAAGTTAGCATTTTATTTTTAAAGTAATGTACAAGTAATGACGCTAGTCAAGTTACACTCATTCATGAAGGTGAAATTCAAATCTCACGTAAAAATAACGTTGTGTACTTACTGTACAAAAAAACCAAAACAAAACATGATGATCACAGACTTACAAACTTACAAAGCTTACAAACTTGAAGATAAATGCAGCCCCAGACATTACAACTACATCAGGTCCGAGAAACGTGAGGGAGAGGGTACGTCATCGATGACATCACAGTGAGCTGGAAAGTTCGGTAAGTTATCAGTATCCACCTACGAAGTCGTGTTTTGATTAAAAGGTTACGGTACATAAAGGTTTTTTTTATAAAAACAAAACATGTAATTTGATTACAGGTAAATGTAATGAAAACTGAACTGAAAACGTCAGCATTATATTTGTAACGCAACAATTACGCTAGTCATGTTACCTCATACATAGCGTTTTACGTGGAGGTGAAAGCGGCGCCCAACAGGTGTACGTGGTGGAACCATCCCGCACTTTGTGGGATTTTCCATTTGTGGCGTGTCATGTCAGCATTCAAAAATCTTTCGGATTTTGGAATTTCAGATAAAGGATTGTATTATAATTGTGTTTTCTAAAATTAATCAATGGTACTTAATCAAAGAAATATGCATTTTATCCAGAAAAGGTTTTGTAAGTGTCCTGGGGTTCGTGGAATAAAGAGATCTAGTCATCAAGTGACAGGACACTGTGTCTTGAGTTTCCCCCAGCGCTGGTGTGGTGGCGCTGGCCACTCCCCTGACAGCAGGCCCTTGTTTCCGGCCTCTTGATCAGTGAGCCTCGGAGAGCAGGCCCACACTCATTTTCTCGGGCAGCCAAGAGTGAGACTCTGCCCCTGTTATCAATCTGTCAGTGCTCTTGGCTGGCGGAGGTAGCGAGTGACTGACCCGAAAGATCACAGACCGTTTTGTTCCGTTTGAGGTGCTGCTGATTTCTGAAGAGGGCCTTTGCCGAGAGCTTGAAAGTCATTTTCTACAGTGGAAATGACTGAGGGTGGAGAACTTCCTCCGCAGCTCCACTAGAACTCCACTTAAGCAGCTTAGGTCAGCATATAGATAAGATCAGATCACTTTATTGGCCATAAACAATTTCTTGCATTAGGAATTTGTCTTTTCTCATACCCCAGCTTGCTCTCCATGAGACACACAGGCAGGGAGAGAAGCTTGGGGTCAGAGCGCAGGGTCTGCCATTGTACAGCGCCCCTGGAGCAGCTGGGGTGAAGGGCCTTGCTCAGGGGCCCAATGGAGTAGGATTCCTCTGCCAGTCGCAGGATACGAACCGGTAACCTCCCAGCCGCAGGCACAGATCCTGAGCCACAGAGCCACCGCTCTGCCCCAGATATAACCCCAGCACTTGGCTTGTATATTGAAGGTGGAGCCCTGTTATTTGACCAGACGTTTGGTCTTTATTCAGCTATGCCTGTTATTGAAAAAAGCTAAAAGTCTCTTTCAATCTTGCATTGTTGTAATATGATGTCAAACAGTGCACCTTCTTGCATATATTGGAAAGGAGCATCACCTAGACAGCTTACTGTATAAATGGAAGTGTGGCACTTGATTTAATAATGCAAATTTAATAATGCAAATTGAGAACATTTTTCAGAAACATCTTATGAGGTGCTCTTGCAGAGAGGGGTTTGCACAAGAACTGTCTCTCTTGCCATGTGGCGCTAGCCAGCCACTTTATTAAAAAATACCTTTCCAGGTAAAGGGGAACCCATTAACCCATCTGCACCCTGGGGGCAGGATCTGTTTGTGAGGCCCAGGAGGTGCCATGTTCTTAATCTGAGGGAATCTGACAGGCGGAAGCTGTAGAAGGTGATCCAAGGATCAGACATGGTGTGTGTGGGCTTGGAGTCGATCTCTCCGGCGGTGTTTCTGCCCGATCTGCTTTACCAGGGAATTCCAGGTATGCAAAGAAGGACAAGTAAAGTTAATAAGTGACTGAGTGAAGTCATTAAGAGCACAGGTAGAAGGAAATGGGAAACCCAGGAGGCTCTACAGGACCAGGGGTGAAGAGAATGAATTTTCAGCCATACCTGGGGAAATAGGATCCCGGAGAAAAAGATGTCAGATTGTTGTAAAATGGTTGTGATTGTTGCTGAGCTATTTGATGTGCGCTACCTGCATGTGCCTGGAAGGGGAAAGTTCAGCATAGTCCTGAGGGGATACTCGTAAAGGTTTATTTACGTTCTTTGGGCCACTAATATTTTTTAAAGATCAAATATTATTTAAACTGATGTTATCGGTCTGGAAATGGTTCTTTGGCTCATGAATATTTCTTCATGGTCACCTCAGCCTGTTGGCAGTAACGCGGAATGTATCCGCCAGCCGCCAGCTGGTTGTCTCTCCTGCCTGGAGTCCCTGCCTTGGGCCCAGACTGCTCAAACGCTCCCGCACTCGTGCACAAACTGGAGGGAGGGTGCAGCCTGGAGGTGATACTGCAGCTTAAAAAGACCAGTATTAATGGATTTCCACGGTCTCTCTAGCCTAAATATCTCTAATTAGAGGCTGTCTTTCCTTATGCCGGGTTCTGGGAAAGAAAAGCCAGCGACAGGTGGCATTTTCACTTCGGCTCGTTGTCACACAGGACAGGAGTCTTTCACTGACACTGCGCATCGGGTTTCTGTCGAAACAGCAGCTGCTGGGGCTCCTTGCTGTGATCTGAATAATGTCCTCGGAGGGTGAGGTGAAATCACCCCAGCATTGTGCCGCAGTTTCCAAGCAAGAGCATGGGTAACATTTGCGTCACATAAAGGACCTTACATATAGCCTTAATATCTTGAAGACATCATCTGTGCAGCAGACTGAAGTAATAGGTTACTCATTTGCTCAGGCTTAGTGATATATTTACTGCCGTGTGGAATCAGACCATACAGTTCCTCAGCTGCAGCTTAACTTTATTTAAGAGCAGTTCTGCTTTGCTGATGAGCTCTGCTAAGGAACCGTTCTTCATTCATGTAGAAGAAACCAGGATCGGTGAGTATTCGTGTTTACTCAAAATGTCCTTTTTTTGTTAAGATTGTGGACACTGAATATGGCTTATAATATCACGTTGAGAATAAGAATTAGTTTTCAAAGATGCTGAGGACATTTGTTTTCCTGCTTGGTGGTTCCGGAGGCTGTCTTTGGGGAGAAAAGGAGCCGACACTGGGAACAGGTTTGAAATGCAGGTTGACTTCAGCCCTGGCGGAGCTGGATGAAAAGAAACCTGACTTCATCCTGAAGGGGGAAATATACAACACAGTTTAAAGGTTCTTTTCTGGAGTTACAACTGTTAATTGAGAGTCAATCTTTAACCATTCTGACTTAATTTAGCAGAAATTGGTATAGGAAAATAAGTCTTAGAATTCAGTTTTCTCAAAACAGCCATTAGAAAAGGTTTATGTAATTTAAGAAAGCTTTAGTACAAGTCAAAAAGATGTCAAGTTTTCTTAAATGGTTGTGTTTGTTGGTTGAACTATTTGAATCGTGTGTTACTTGAATGTGCCTGGAAGATGAAAGTTCCTCAGAAACTATTACTCCTAAGGGGATTCTCTTAAAAGTTTATTTCTATCTAAGAAACTAGAGTTTATAAAGAGTGAAATAACATTTCATTTAACTATTGGTGCTATATCACCACAGAAAGGGAAGGGAAATTTTTCCCTCTAAATTTAACCTTTTGCCTTCTTGAAAAGTGCTGAATTCCCTTGAGAGGAATATCTTTTTCTGATTTGAGAAGCTCATAAATTTGTGTTGCCAAAGCAATAACAATTAGCTGAATGTTAACAGAAATTTACAACAATCAACATTAATTGTGAGGCTTGTTCTGTCTTCCTCCGGCTGTGACAGGAGAGCACACACTGAGCTGCAGCTCTGCTGAGATTCCTGCGAGCTTTCTGGTTCTGGCAGGTGTCAGAATTCTGGGATTAGATCTGTTATTTTGGGGAAGAATGTTTGTCTAATCCCAGAGTATTTCTTTCAGTGTAGCAGAAAGTGCATCTCTGTCTCTGTTTCTCCCTGCTTGCTGTGGGAATACAGCCTGCCCTCTCTGGGCAGCCAGGTCTGCCTATGTCCAGTTTCCATGGCCAGGCTGTGGTCTGTGAGCCTGTCCTCCATGGGAAACCAGGTCTGTCTGTGTCCAGACTGTGGTCAGTGAGCCTGTACTTCTTCAGGGTCTGTTTCTCCTTGCTGGCACTCACCCTGGTCAGACACTTTGTCAGTGTGTCTGGTCTTTTTAGGTCCTGGTAGCAGTGTCCTGGTGGTGTCGCAGTGGGTTGAGGCAATGTTGTTCGGCTAGTGCTGCGATTGGGTTGACTCCAGAGGCTGGCCGGTGTCAGCGCGGCTCAGGGCAGTGAGGGAGATCTCCTCAGAGCTCAGCTCTTGGCTCTGAGGGCCATGTGGTGGCTGGAGTTCTGGTCATTGCTTCGTCGATGTAGCCAGCATTTTCTTTCTTTCTTCTGTATATTGCTTAGCAGTGGTTATCCGCCTAGTCCCTCTCTTGGTGGAATCCGAGTTTGAAACTTGACTGACAGGGACATAGAATTGACAGGTGCAGCAGAAGCCGAGCTAAGCCTGATTATAAGGGCCCTCAGGCTATAAGGGCTCTAATCTGAATGGAGAGTTTGGGATGTCCCAGGGATATCTGGTCTCCAATCTGGGGCAGACAATAGGAGAGGGTCACTTGCCTTGTTCCAGAGTGAGAGGTGGCCTGAAGACATGAGGCCTGTCGTCGGGTCTCATAAAAGGAGCACATTGCTCCTCTCAGTCAAGCTTTGTGACCCCCCCCAGTACCTGGAGAGGATGATCTTCCATCCACACGGTGAGGGAGAGCGGATCGCATGCCTGGCCACCCATGGGCAGTGCGTCCTGTCAGTCTTCCTTTCCAAGAGCTCAGTGCTGGCAGTTAGTCCCGTCGTTAGTGCTGCAGTCATGCAGTATGTACTGTATGGTATGTGCAGGTCTGCTTTATTGCCCTGGAAATATTGTATAAGGTTTGTGCAGGTACCTGTGAGTAATGCAACTGCCTTCTAGGCCTTTATTGACTGTAGAATATCTAACTCTGTATAATGCAGTAAAAAGTCTATAAGAATTATAGTATCACAAGGACTTTTTTGAACCATGGAAATAACAGTTCCAAATCAATGGTCACCAAAAACGGCAGTAGGAATAAAGTTTAAAGTATTCTCTTGTGCTGTTTTTTTTTAATATTTCCTTTATTAGTTTTCATAGGCAATCTAATCCCTTGAATAATAACCCTCCCCATCACTGCTAGACAAACCAGTTTTGCTAACCGTGATGAATGATAAAGATTGTTTTTTTTATATATATCTTCAGCCTGGGAGTTCATTCTAAAGGCAAGTCTGGAAAAAAAAGTTTGAAATTTCGAATAGTTTTATATTGAGTTAAGAACACTTGGATGGTTTAATATCTTGGCTAAAAAATGTACAAGCAATGTACGGAGAAAAAAGTCTAAAGGCTCATTTTAAGAGTGCGTTTGTGCAAAATGCAAACTGGATAAAACTGTAAATGTGTGTTTGTAATTACCAGGGGAGTCGAGATCAAGGTTGTATCAACATTTGTGAGGTATGGAGTTATCTACTGTATGTTTTTATTTGTACATATAAACTCATATTTGGACCTAATATTGTAACAGTTGAGTGTACATTTACTCCCAGTGAGAGAAGGAGGAGGCAGCCCTTAAGACAAATGACCTATGTGACTTTGTAGCATGCAGAGGCAATAAAAAGTGTCAAATATTTGTTTTTGGTGTGTCAGGAGTCATTGCTTATGGGTGAACTGTATGTGCCTCTTAGGGAAAATATAATTTTTTTGTCTGAATGGAGCAGGTTTTCTGTAACTTTCTCAGGAGGTTCCTCCTGGTGCTTGCAGCCTAAGGTACAGTAGGCGTGTACATACTGAAAGCTTCCTTAAGGTGCTAAAGAGGGTGCCTCACAGAAACCTTTCAGCCATACATTATTTTCCAGCTTTGTGGTTGTTGCATTCAGGGTAGCTAATAGCGAGTAATGGTAAAGCTTGGTCACGGATTTGCCTCTGAAAAGCAGATCATTCAGAAGGACATTGTGCATGCCGTTTCTAGTCTCTGGAGTGTTAAGTGATAAATTCAGTGTTTTCAGAACCACTCGTTCTCTGCATTTGACCCATTCAGGCGCTTCCTGTGAAATACAGTCAGCATGTCAAGACTGCAGGAATCATGGGTCTCCATACGCCAGGTCAGACAGGCACTCCTCTCTCAGAGGCTGCTCACCTTCAAGCACAGGTCTGCTGCGCTACTGTCAGCTTGCTGAAGAAACGGGTGAAAAAACAAGTAGAAAATGAGCAATGCCTTCCTGTTCAGATCATTCAGTACCGGGCAAGTACTGTTCTGAAGGCCTTCCTATGGAACTTTTTCCCCCCACTTTTTTAATTGACGAGAAATGCTGCAAGCTGTCAGGTGCAGACCCCTGTAGAAGAGAGGATTATAAATCATGACAGCAGGCTGGGACGTTCCAATGCCAACTGTTTTGTAGGCGTCTGAAGCTATGCAGACTGCAGATCCCCTTAGCCCGCTGGATTGTTGACTCAGAACAGGCTGAAAAAAGGCTTGGGCATTCAGCACACGAGCAGAACAGACACAGCTGATGAGCTGAAGACGGGTACAGGACCTGTTTTGGCAGGGCTGTTTGCGTCCTCCATTTTGTACCCCTCTGCCCCATCCTGCTGGACGTTTTATCATGCACTATCAATCGCTATGTCCACTCCTATGTAACTGCTCCTAATATCAGCTGACAGTGAGCGCTGGTAATGGCGCCTCATGCTGGCTCTGCTTGGCTGCTCCGGCTGCTCTCTGTGTCCGGCTGTGCAGGGAACGTCCCGAGGAAACTCTCCCGATCCCAGCCAGCGCTGCGCGCCTGCACACCCTCGTCACGCGCGACGCCACGCTGTGTCCCTTCTGGTTCTGGGCTTTTAATGAGAAAGTCTACAGTATATGTTTTAAAGTCTTTTAATATCAAAAGTTTTAAAGCCTTTTTAACTGTGTAGCCAGTGAAGGATTTTGAAGTGATTGTTTGCTGAATGCCTTTGTCATTTCAACCCTAACTATGGAACAAAAGAAAAGCACAGATATGCCCAAGATATGGTTGTTTTTTATGACCAATTTCTTGTATTACCAAAGTCTTTCAGAATGATTCAGCTTAAGCACACTAATATATTGACTGAAATCCTGGGGTTCATGAATGTTATTCTGATAACCCAATCAAATCGTAGGCTTGAGCTTCTCCTGTACTGTATTGTGTTGATGCAGACGGAAACCTGCACTGTGTGTGTGTGTGTGTGTGTGTGTGTGTGTGTGTGTGTGTGTGTGTGTGTGTGTTGCTCTCGAGTGTCAGATGTGGGACAGAGGGGGGACAGAATAGTTGGAGTTTCTGAGAGCAGTGGGTTGACATTTACTTAATCATTTTGGCACAAATCCTGGTCAGGACATCTGAAGGGTTATTATTAAACCATAATGGTTAAGAGAGCTTGAAGCAATACAGGGGTCTTTCATCATGTAGGGAGATTTAATCTGTTCAGGAAAGTGCGACTGACAAAACAAAAGACTAAACTCCCAGTGACTGAGACCAGGCATATTGGCCTTCATGTAAATGTAGAACTTCTTTGTGTTTTTTAATCAAAGCTTTAGAAGATCTTTTCTTGAGTTAAACATGGTATTAAAATGAAATAAACTTAATAGCTGCTTTAAATTGCTCAATTATACGCTCTGCTTGACAAGGTAGGGAGAACTGTGGAAAGATGTTCATTTAAATTAATGGCTTTTCAGGTAGGATAGAGGTAAGCTTTTGTATGTCGTTTTGTTGTACTAGAAGAATTTAGTGAAGCATTTTGATTGATTATTGCATGCAGAAAACATGTATTGCGTTCTGAATGATAAAATATGTTATCATGTGTAGAAGAAGTAATTCTTTGCAGGGCTGTAAATCTTTTACATTACTTTTCAGTGT